ATTTCTGCAAGGCATCCATTATGTACTTGGTCCAAGAAAGAAATAAGCCATCCGGGTGAGGAACTACTTCAATGCCAAAGAAAAAGTGTAGGGGGCCAAGATCTTTGAGAGAGAAATGGTTGGAGAGTGCCCCTTTAAATTTTTTAATGGCCTGCAAATTATTTCCTGTAAGAACAATGTCGTCTACGTAGACGAGCAAGAAAAGAATAGTGTCCTGAGCATGTAAGGTGAATAAAGAGTGGTTAGAATGAGCCTTGCAAAAACCAGCAGAGATGAGAAAATTTGTAAGCTTAGTGTACCAAGCACGGGGTGCCTGCTTTAGGCCATAACTGGCCTAGTTCAATCTACAACGGGTAGTTGTGATTTTCAAAACCTTTGGGCTGTTTCATGAAGACTTCCTCTGTCAATGTACCTTGTAAAAAGGCATTGTTTATATCTAGTTGATGAAGGGGCCACATGTTTTGTGTGGCGATGGCAAGTACTGTTCGTATTGTTGCTGATTTGACAACGGGACTAAAGGTATCAGCATAATCGATTCCAGGCTGTTGAGTGAAACCTTTTGGAACAAGGAGAGCCTTGTAGCGTTCAATCGAACCATCAGCTTTACGCTTGATATGAAATATCCATTTATTCTCCATTATATTTTGGTGATCCGATGGTGGGACAAGATCCCATGTTTTGTTGCTCATGAAAGCTTCAAACTCACTTTACATAGATTTTCTCCACTGGGGGTCCTTGGATGCTTATTTGACTTTAGCCGGTGGTATTTTAGGATGTAAGGGTGGCCATGGATGCGTACTTTGGGTTGGGCTTAATTATTTGATGTTGGGAGCGAGTGACAGGGCGACGTGGTGGTGAAGGCTAATTAGTCTCAGAAGAGATATCAAGTTCAATCGACTCGTACTGTTGGGGAATGGAATATGAAGAAGAGTGTGTGTGTGAGGGAACACATTGAGTAGTAGGGGAAGAAGCATCTAGAGGGGTGGAATTTACCTGATTGTGGTGGACATCATTGCATTCTGACTGAGGGCACACAACTATTGACTGAGCAGTAAAGTCGTTGTACGAAGAGGCAAGCTTGGATCTTTGTGATGTGGACTACACAATTTAATAAGAGAAGATATGGTATAATCTAGAGAATTTTGAGAAGATGATAATGTATCTGAATTGGATGTGAAATTAAACGAGGAGATATTATGAGAGGATCCTTTATATTTGGAAAAAATATTTTCATATGGAAAAATATTTTCCAAGAACTTGACATCTCTGGAGAAATATATTTTTGAGGATTCGGGATCAAAGCACTGATGACTGTGTAAGTGGATAGAAAATCCTAAATAGACACATGGTGTAGATCTCTGTTCGAGTTTATTTTTGGTATATACTTTTAGCCAAGGATACCATAGATAACCGAACGTAAAAACCAAGGAAATATTAGGAGAGGTACCAAAGAGAGCTTGATATGGGGAAATATTTCCAATGGATGGTTTAGGAAATCTGTTAATTAGATAAACAGCAGTTTGGCAAGCAAAACTCCAAAATTGTGGTGGTAGAGATGCTTGGTGAAGCAGGGTTCTTGCAGTTTCAATAATGCGCCTATGTCGTCTTTCAGCTAAGGCAATTCTTTGAGGGGTATATGGGGGAGAGGATAAATGTTGAATACCAAATTCAGCAAAAAGTGATTTTAGTCCTTTAAATTCTCCTCCTCCATCCGAATAAAGGGTGAGGATCTTAGTATTG